CCGTAGAAAGAAGAGATTGCCCTTTGAGGCAGTTAAGAGTCTTGAGGTTTATATTTGTACACTTCAATCATGCCATTTCATAATGGCCATAAGGTCATGACAAGTGTTTTGCTTGAAATTATTGTTGATTTTTCGATCAATTTGACTGGTTTGCTATCACAATCCATCTATTAACTCAAACCATTAATAGAGTCTAATCTTGAAATATTGTAAATCTAAGGACATAAATAAACACTAAAATGAAATAATACAAAATTTGATGAATTTTATTCCATTTTTATCTATTTGAAGACTAAACTTAAAAAAAAAAAAAATACTTTTCATTGACTATGCCTTATAAAAAAGTATTATTTTTAAACTTTTTCCCTCGGTCTATTTCTAGCATCATATTCACAATTAGTGGCGCTCCAACTCTGTATCAAGGTCATGATCGATATCGTCACTATCATCAATATCACCACTACCATCAATATTGTCACTATCATTCATATCTGTCACTATCATCAATAAGAAAACCTTTAGGGTTGTTATCCGGGAACTTGTTCAGAAATACTGTAATGAAAGGAAGATAGGAGTTTGTCACGGGGTATTTGACCAAATAGGATCGTCCAGTTCCTATAGAACCTATCACTAAAATACCCCTACATAAGGAAGATATGGCTAAGAAAAGAGTTTTTCATGAAATGAGAAATTTAAACGATTAACCGTACATAAGGTTTGTGAATAAGTGATTGTCTGATAATGAGCCAGGAATGTCCGTCTTTGCTAAACAGGAAGTTTAGAAATATTTTTAGATAATTTATAAAATTATAAATATTTTTATTTAGATTAAATTAATAAAAATATTTTAAAATTATATATATTGTCAAGAAACACTCAAACTTTCAAAAATTTTACAAGGAGAAGGATAAAAATAGTTAATATGGTGTGTGAAAGTTCTCTATCTAATAAATTACGAAAAGATATTTATAAGGTGATATTTATGTTATAATAAAATATATATGATAAACTATTATTTAATATTAAATATCTTTAACCAATAATATATTTCTATTTTTTTAAAAAAAGTTTTTAAAGTATTTTTAAATTAAAAAATCAAAGAAATACAATGTTTTTTTTTATTAATTAAAAATATTTTAAAACAAATTATAAGATTAAAGTATTTTTATTAATTTAATCTAAAATGAATAAATAAATAAAACTGTATGAGAAGTTGGACGGATAAATATAAAAAGTAGTCCGAGAAAAGGGAAAAAAAAAAAAGAAAAGAAAAGAAAAGAAAAGAAAATATTTGTTGAATTTTCGAAAGAGGTTCATCCAGGTTCGTCGGTTCTTTCCCATTTCATCCGCCATCGTCGTTCTCATCGGTTTCCCCAGCTCAGACCCTACGTAGCAAATCATTTTGCTCAGACGAAATCTTCTTATGATAAAGGTAGGGAAATTCGGTTTGCTTTCCGTTTCGATTTCCTCCGAATTTAACTTTGTAGCCGTTTCTTGGTCAATCATATACAGACGAGGAAGAACCCTAGATTTGGAATTATTTAGCCTACACAGATTTTGTATGTATATGGTTTTTGAAATTCTAATGCAGTGATTCCTTGTTAAGTTGAATTGATTGTTGTTTTGTATTTAGTTCTTGTAATTTGTATACTGACAGTTGATGTTCGTCTTTCTGTGCAGTGCGCTAAATCTCCTTGGTTTTAGTTATTGAACGCAACTATTGTAGTTCATGGCTACCTTAAACGGGAAAGTTACATATTCTTCCCTTTCTAATGTTGGAAAGGTGAACAGAGGCCACAATGATGATGACGAATGTGATTCTCTATGGGCCATGCCTAATGATAGTGCGCCCTTCCATTCGAACTCTAAGTTTTCTTTTGAATCTGAAGACTTCATTGAGGAAGGATACGATTCAAGTGATGAATTCGATATTCCAAAGCAAAATAGTATGCGTCCAGAGGTGAATTTAAAAAATGTTTTAAATGGGATGTTTGCTATATTGACTGGTGTGAATAAATCTTCAGATGTTTCCTCCGATCAACAAGTTCCCAGTTCAAATATTTCATTCCTTGGTTCTGAAAAGAATGGAGATACTTATTTGCATTCCTCGGTCTACATTCCCAGTGCCCCACCTCTTCTTGAGCCAAATACGATTAATTATAATGCTTATAAAGATGTTTTGGAGGCTGAGCCTCCAGAGTGGCTTCCAGATAGTTCTTCTTCCATTTGTATGCAGTGTACTGCCCCTTTTACTGCAATCACTCGCGGTAGGCATCATTGTCGATTTTGTGGAGGGATTTTTTGCCGAGCCTGTACAAATGGGAGGTGTTTGATGCCTATGAAGTTCAGAGAGAGAAATCCACAGAGGGTATGCGATGCCTGTTATGACAGGCTTGATCCTTTACAGGGTGTACTTATTAACAGCATTAGTAACGCTGTGCAAAGGGCGAAACATGATGTAATGGACTGGACGTGTTCAAGAGGGTGGTTGAATCTCCCTATTGGTCTATCCATGGAACATGAGATATACAAAGCATCTAAAACGCTAAGAGGATACTTCCAGGTGTGCTTACCAAGCAACTTAGTAATCAGAGGAAGTCAGTATAACTTGAATTGACATAGATATCATTGTACTCTGATATCTATAATTCGTGATATATGAAACGAAGTTGTGAATGTTCTTTTGTGACATTCTATTTCTTGGCTGTTGAATTGTACAGGTCTCTAGGCTAAATCCTGAAAAGTCTATACCCTCGGCTGTACTAAAGAGGGCCAGAGGTCTTGCGATTTTGACAGTTGCCAAAGGTGGAGTGTTGGTTGCTTACAAATTTGGCACTGGTTTGGTAATTGCCCGAAGGTCAGATGGTTCGTGGTCTGCCCCTTCAGCTATATTATCTGTTGGATTAGGATGGGGTGCCCAGGTAAAAAGACTTTTAGTTCAAAGATCTTGTACATCTATAATTTCTGGATGAGTTTCAATCTTTAGAAATGGTTCAGCTTGATTGTAGGATAGTTTGCCGGTGTACTTTTTGGTTTCTTGTCTCTTCTATGAGACGTGGAACTAGGACTTTTGGCACAAATCACAAGATTCTTGTATGCTTTGAGTTCTGAATTACTTTTATCCTTGTTTGCCTTAGATTGGCGGCGAGCTCATGGATTTCATAATCGTGCTTCATGATTCAAAAGCTGTTAAAACATTCTGTAGCCGAATGCACTTCTCACTTGGTGCTGGGTGCAGTGTTGCTGCTGGTCCTGTTGGTAGAGTCTTGGAGGCAGATATCCGTGCTGGAGATCGGGGTTCTGGCATGTGCTATACGTACAGTTGTAGCAAAGGTATCCCTGATCAGATTGTCCATTGTCTGTTTACTTGAATCATATGTAATTTTTGTTCAATATTTGAGGTTTTTGACAGTTATGCCAGAGCCTAAATAAACTTTCATTAAGATAGCGTATTAGATCATTGAAATAGCTGCAGATTGAACATTTAACTTTTTCCAGGCTTCAGCAGTTTTGTGAATCATGCAGGAAGATAGCTTATTAATTTTTTTCTTTTACGGCATTTCATACGACTATTGATTTTGGTCGTGGTAGTCGACTTCATTAGAGTAGGCCTTACTTGAACTGGATCTGTTCTATCGGTTGTACAACTGGTTCCTTGAGTTCCAAAGAACGGAGATAGGCTTGCTTTTAGTAGTTATTTTGCACCATATATGCTTAAGTTTTCCATATTTAGAAGCCAAATTCTGTCTGGATTACAGTATTTCATAAGCTAGAGATGGTAACTGATGCAGTAGTTTACTTCTTGACAGGCGCATTTGTTGGAGTATCATTGGAAGGAAACGTTGTAGCAACAAGGATGGACACAAATCTATGCTTTTATGGCGATCCCTATCTAACCACCTCTGATATTCTGTTGGGGACGGTAGAGAGGCCGAGAGCTGCCGAACCGTTGTACTCTGCGCTTGATGACTTCTATTCCATTCTGCAATGACCAACTATCCTCGTTGTATAGCAGACGTCTCCATGGCTGTGCTGTGCTGTGCTATGAACTGCCGTGTAAGCTCTGATCCAAAGTTTATATTTCCTAGATTGTAAATATACATGCATCCACAACTAGAAGCATATAGTTATTGCCTTGTCTCAAAGTTTGGCTGGTTTATTCTTGTGTAAATATACATTTATTTGCAACCCACCCCATAAGCATTGTAATGTTTAGAATTGGATGTTTATTCATTGTATAAATATATATTTATTAGCATACTCAGTTAAGGGCACCTTTCACGTTTGAAAGGTTAAAATTATTTTTGTGGTGGCTTTGAATAGGACAAACTTGATTTTAACCATTTTAAAATTACTCTCTAACATGCTATAAGAATAGTATGCCGAGTTAGGGCGGTTATATATGATATCAAAGTTACACTTCTCATATAAGAAATGTTTTGTTTCTCTCTTCATTTGATGTGCGATTTTCAATCTATGTAACAGCCCAAATCTACTGCTAGCCGATATTTTGTCTCTTTGGGCTTCCCTTTTTAGGCTTTCCCTCAAGGCTAGTATGCTAGGAGAAAGTTTCCATTGTGGTTTGTTCTCCTTCCCAACTAAGTTGGGACATCATAATCTACTATCCCCTTAAAGTGCCAATGTCCTCACCCGTACACCGTCCTGTGTCTATCTGATATCATTTATAATAGCTAAAGTCCCCCACTAGCAAATATTGTCTACTTTGGTCTCACAGTTTTAAAATACATCTGTATTCCATTTTACAAATCTCTGCGCTAGAGGTTCATTACAAACCGTTAAAATCACTCAATTTTAAAGCTAGGCATTCTTCTTAATGATGTTATGTGTTATAATATGATACAGTATGTGTCTAGAGCACAAATGACAATTTGTGCTATAGTTACTCCATGAGATTGGTGATAATGCATTTAAGCACATGCCTGCATTTTATATTTGCCAATTCTTCTACCCATATATATAATTTGGAAAGATGATAAAACTATAGGCTTAAGAATATAATGACATAAATAACAAGCTAAATTTAAACATCTGAGCCAACGATTTATCAAGAGATTTGCCTTCGCCAGCATACATTGCAATGAACACAATGGTGTGACGAGAAAGGAAACAAAAGCCATCTCGTGCAAGCAAATATTAATTGCTTGGGGAAAACATGATTGCACTGAACAAAGCCCCCAATGAGCTCGCTTATACACATGGAAGCTATGTTTGTAGGGAATTACTCGTCAATCTTTGACGTCCGTAACCCCTTCAGCTGAAATTTGAAACCGTGCTTCGGCCTCGGCTAAACACGGTGAACTTATCACCTTACAAATGCGTTCCTCCCCTCTTCCTTTCCGTAGAGCAAGCCTGTAGTAGAAAATATAATTGGTTACATTTATGGATGTGAAGATTCGAACCTATAACCTTTAGGTCAAAGGTACAACGTTTTAACCGGTTGAGTTGTAATTGTGACAAACCTTGTCGTAGAAGCATGAGCCATAATGTTTCCACCAATTGGCTTAATTTGAGGGCCTGCAAAGATTGCTGAACCATCAACCTGTGCCACCACTTGATTCGTGATGACCACAGCCACACCAAACTACAACCAGATCATCAAAAGATATTGCTCTTGTCAATGGTAAGAAAAATGCAAACTAAACCCATTAAGGGATGAGTGCCTTTACCTCATCTGCCATTTTCTGGAGACTCCTTAAGAACTTTGCTAGATGCATTTGCCGAGCCGAAAGTTCTCCCCTTCCTGAGAAATCCGTTCTGTAGAGGGCAGTAGCGCTATCAACTATCATGAGAGCAAACCTACATATAATGTGAATGGATCATCTCAATAACTTATTTCAATCGAGATGATCAATAAAACTTCTATCATTCCAGATGTCATCGGATGCATCATATTAGTGGCAATGTAATGAAAACTGAAATGTGTAAAAAACACTGTATTAGTATTAAGTCCTATTAGCATACATGTAACCGCTTAAGCCTACTGCTAGCAGATATTGTCTTCTTTGGGCTCTTTTTCAGACTTTCCCTCAAAGTTTTTAAAACGTGTCTGCTAGAGAGAGGTTTCTACACCCTTATAAAGAATGTTTCATTCTCCTCCCCAACCGATGTGGGATCTTATGATCCACCCTTCTTCAGGGCTTGGTGTCCTCACTGGCATTCGTTCCCTTCTCCAATCGATGTGCAACCCTCCAATCCTTCCCTTCGGGGTCTAGTGTCCTTACTTGCACACCACCTCGTGTCCACCCCCCTTCGAACTGAGCCTCCTAGCTGGCACATCGCCCGGTGTCTGGTTCTAATACCATTTGTTATAGCCCAAGCCCACTATTAGTAGGTATTGTCCTCTTTGGGTTTTCCCTCAAGGTTTTTACAACACATATGCTAGTAAGAGGTTTCCATACCCTTATAAAAAATACTTAATTATCCTCTCCAACCGATAGTGAGATCTCACAATACACATCTAGCTCATACAAACTATGATAGGTACCTTGTTTCCACCATCATTGAAGCAGCTTCCAGCAAAAGCCTTGACTGATGATCAGTGTTATACGCTCTAGCATAGGCCACATTTTCCAACACATCAGCACCATTGAGTCCAAATCTGCAACAACCAATATCAACCATTAAGCTATTTCATTACACACACACACACACACACACACAGATAACAACAACCATGCCTTCTCATCAAACCTGTCTGCAATCTGTAGTAGCCTCTGGGGTCTAAACGTGCCCTCGGCATCAATGTACATCGCCTTTCCCTCTCCACCGCCTTGATCCAGTGGGAGCTGATCGATAATTCAAAACACCTCAGATGATTCAAATGAATCAACAGATTCCATAGCCAAAAACAGTCATAATACAATTTTAAGCTGAACTCACTTGGCAGGTAACACAGAGTGTGTGACAAAGCTGAGTTTTCCCAGAACGAAACTCCCCATAGATTTCAGTAATGGATCCTGTCTCAATTCCCCCTGAAAGGAGGGTGTAAAATCGAAAGTAAGCAAACGAAAGTTGATAATAAAAATGAAAAAAACAGGACAATTGAACTTGAAAGCTCTTCAAGAAAGCAACCTTCAAGAATCTTGTCAAGTTCCCTTGACCCAGATGTTAATTGAATGATCTCTAGCCTCTGAGCATGGAGTTGGCCAGCACTTGTGAAACCCAATGGCACAATCTTGGAAGCTATTGACAGTGAAGCGATTCAGACAGAGAGACAAACATAACAAGCAAATGGGAAATGGAAAATTGTAATCAAATTGCATGCCTGCTTCAATAATTTTATCAACTTTAGCCTCGCTTATGCCCTTGATTTGAAGCAGTTCTTTCCTGGGAGAGTAAGCAACGGACTCTACCGTGCACAAACCAGCATCTTTAAGCTTCTTTATGTCAATTGCAGCAATTCCCGATGCCTTAAGTACAACATTACTAAAAATCGTCACTCGGAAATGATAATTCCGCAACCTAAAACCCATCGCGATTCCGATAAAGCAATGTAAATAAATTCGAAGGCAAATAACTTAATCCCACGATTAGAGACGAAGTGGAAAAGAAGAAGTTTAATCTCGAATTCGAGATTCGTCAGGCATTTAGTAATCGATCGATCAACAAAAAGAGGTTTTAAAACCCTAATTCTTGGTGATACCTGGAGCTGTTCTACGGGAAACGGGCCGTGCTGTATCTCCTCGGCCTCTTCGTGTTCTTCAGAGGGCTTCTGGTTTCTTTGCCGCTCCATTGTCAAATACTAAACCACCGACCCGCAAATGAAAGAATCGCTCGATGCAATTGCCAGAACCAGAAGAGCTCTGCGGATTGCACAGAGAAAGCGATTGGAAGCGAAAATGGTGGAGGGAATTTGTGAATTTTAAGAAGATTTGAGGGGCGCCAAAAAGAGTGGAGAGTACGGAAGTAGCTTACCCGGGAAGTCTATGATCAAATTTGGGCCGAGTTTTGGACTATAATCCAATGAACTTTTGCTATTTGGATCCCTTATAACACTGAAAAGCCCAAATGCTACACATTCAATTTTCTTCCATTTTATTATTTCATACTAATTGATATATGCTTAAATTGGTATTAGTTAGGTTCCTCGTTCGTGCCTTTTTCGCTACAATATTTGGTAGATGGTCCTCTATCTCTTAAAGCCTTTACGCAACCCATGTAACTGTTTATTAATGCCTTTAATTTCTACCTGTTGTTTTACTGTAGCTATGTCGCCGTCCTTACCACTACTTATGAGTCTAAATGTGAGATCCCATATTGGTTAAAGAGGAGAACGAAACATTCCTTATAAGGGTATGGAAACCTCTACCTAACATATGCGTTTTTAAAACCTTGAGATAAATCTAGAAAAAAAAAGTCCAAAGAGGACAATATTTGCTAGTATAGGATTGAACTGTATTTTATAAGCGTGTGGAAACCTCTCTCTAGCATACACATTTTAAAAACAACTCCATTAAGTTTTTCTAAGAGATTTGAGCAAAAACACAACTCGATCAAAGTGTGTATACTCCTTCCACTAAGGGAATCATGTATATAATGGGCTATAAACTCGATTATTTACCCCTTTATAGAACTGAAACGTATATTCCATGATTTTCGCTTATTCAGGTCGTAATTCTTATTAGTCGAGCTATAGCTCCCAAAAGAAAACTCGATCCATCCAATGGGAAACATAATGTATATTGATTCATTTAGTCGAGTCGGGTTTTTTATTACTCTTATTTTGGGATGGATAATATTAAAAAAAAAAAAAAAAAAAAAAAAAACTTAAAGAAGGATAATTTCCATATGGATTGGGATTATCACAATCCAACGAACAAGTGTACAAGGAAACGAGCTGGATGAACCACGTGATACAATTGGTTACAAAACACGTAATTATTATATTAATTATATTAATATAGTTACGTGGCTAAATGGGTCACGCAAGCAACTAAATGACCTGTCAGCAAAATCCTAATCCAAAAAGAAAGAAAATAATATTTTAATAATAGATTGGTCAAATTACAACTTTAATATTTTTAAAAAATATTTTATTAGAATTTAAAATAATTAAAAGTAAAAAAAAAAATATTAAATATCGAAAATCATTAATAAAGCTGGTGGGGTCCACCCACCAACTTCCACGTGTACAAGCTGATGAGTTTGATCCACTTGTCCTCATTCTAATTTTCGTCGTATTAATCTTCTTCTCCACTTTCTGTTAATCGACGAAAAGAAAAACGAAGTCCCTGAGCTCATCCATGGCGGTTGCGATCATTTTCGAGCGATGAAATATCCGTGCACTGCAAGAAATCTTCTCGCAACGTATTTGTTTCGTCAAGAAGACGATCTCTCTCGTTGCTCTTAGGGAAGGTAATGGCGGTTTCTGCAATCATCTCTTCATCGCGATTATTGAATGTTGATTTCATTTCCTGTGGTTATATCAATGCGAGTCTGATTATATTGCATTGTAGAGATCGAACGCGGACCTGCTCTGGATTTGTTGATTTCGGTGGATTTCTCTGCGTTTTTTCGTGTTTTACGGTGAGGATACGATTGATTTGTTGGTAACGTGCGTCGCGTATGTGTGTGTTTCTCGCTTTCGTATTTTTGTACGTGCATTTGCTTTGATATGGAAGCTGGTTTTGCATAAAGCTAGAGTAGGAGGCAAAGCGTTTCTTAATTTTTCAGGAGGTATTTTTTTTCGTTTGCTTGATTGTGGCAAAATGTGGCGCGATTTCTCTGCATTTGTATGAGTTTAAAGGACGCGAATGCAAGTGGACTGAATGTTGCGTGTACATTTGAATCTGAACGAAATTTTATTTTACTAACGTTCTGCATTGTTGGCGAAGAAAATGGAGCAGAAAGAAAGAAAGACCTGTACGTGTAGAGTTTTGTAGCTATTCAGTTGCTTATGCCTTCGAAAGCGAGTTTTGTAGCTATTCAGTTGCTTATGCCTTCGAAAGCGATGTTCATTGTTTGATTATGCCCACTGCAGTTGATACCATGCTCGGGAACGGAGTGGTTGGGATTCTGTCGGAGTCTTCTAACAAGTGGGAAAGAAGGGTGCCTCTAGCCCCAGCACACTGCGCTCGACTTCTGCACGGAGGAAGGCAGAAAACTGGAATATCTCGTATAATTATTCAGCCATCGACCAAACGTATTTATCACGATGCACAATACGAGGATGTAGGCTGTGAAATTTCTGATGATTTGTCAGAATGCGGTCTAATTCTGGGTATCAAACAACCCAAGGTGAGAAAAGTTCTTTTTAATTACCTTTGCCTATTTTGTTTATTCATTTTTGGAAAACAGATAATTAATTCAGTTTTTTTTTTTTTTCAGCTGGAGATGATTCTTCCAGATAGAGCTTATGCCTTCTTCTCCCACACGCACAAAGCGCAAAAGGAAAACATGCCTTTACTAGACAAAGTACCACGACTGTTGCATCTTTACTCCACAACTATAAATTCCTTTCGACAAATATTCTTCTAATCTTCTATTTGGAATTCAGATCTTATCAGTAAGGGCATCATTATATGATTACGAACTTATAGTTGGAAATCACGGAAAAAGGCTACTTGCATTTGGAAACTATGCTGGCAGAGCTGGATTTATTGACATTTTGCATGGATTAGGACAGAGTATGCTCCATTCCTGGAATATACTTTTTAACTTTTTATTTATTATGTTTTCCCGTCTTGTCAATTATATCAAAATATGTTTAAAGCTGAAGATAGGAGGGGGTTAGTTTTTTAGTAGTTTGGGATAGTGACTTGATCGTAATTTGTTTGGCTAGGCTTTGTTATCAGTGAAGTTTGTCGTCTAGAAACCAAAAGAATCTATCTATGCTCCAAATTCACTTTATAATTTGGTTCTGCATTAGAGTGGTTATCAACTAAAATTCAACTTGTTTCTGCAGTTTCTGCCTTCTTATTGCCCTCTTCAAATCTTTTATATCTGACATTCAAAACATTCAGAATTCTTGAGCTCGATGTTTTTTTTCCTTTTATACTCAAAACATGGAGACGGTTGGATGCTCTGGTATAATAAATAATGTTAATATTCCCACAAATGTTACTGTGCAGGATATTTGAGCCTTGGAATTTCCACTCCTTTCCTCTCGCTGGGTTTGTCATACATGTATCCATCCCTGGCTGCTGCTAAGGCTGCAGTAATATCTGTGGGTGAAGAGATTGCAACACAGGGCTTACCACCAGATATTTGTCCTTTGGTCATTGTGTTTACTGGCTCGGGAAATGGTATTTCATCTTTTAATTGATTGTTCTTTTTATAATTCATAGTATTTAGAGCTACAAATCCACAAGCTCGCGAATGTTTTCTCCCTACAATCACGATCTAATCTTATATATGCATGATTAATCATATTTATTGAATTTTTTGTTATAGAAATTGAAATTGTATTAATTAAAAAATGCAAGGAAGAAATATTAGAAAAATCAAGCATCTAGAATACTGAGATGTAAAAATGGTTCCAAAATTTAAATGTTTACAGTTTGGATCAACAAAAAGTGATAAATAAAATTCGTTTCTAGATCATTTTCCATCATGAATTTGTTTCTAGATTCTTTTTGAAAAATTGATTTATATATATCAATGGTGGTCAGCTTGCATCCAAGAGGAAGAGTCAATATTTTAAAGGCATTTACCCATGCTAGAACCAGTCAAAGAAGCTAATCTTGGTGAAATGTTAGAATCCAAGAATAATTTTTTTTTTTTTTTTTTTTTTTTTTTTTTTGTATAGAATTTTTGTAAGAATATATATATTTTTTCTTTTTAAGAGTTAGATTGTTTGGTGGAGAATCAAATAATTGACCTTTAGAATGATAATTGGTATCTCATCCATTGAGCTATGCTTGATTGACTTTGTAAGAATAATCTTGTGACTTTACATGCCAAAATGATTAAGATGAGCAACAGATTGAATAAAGAAAGATCCCAAAAAGATATCCCGATATGGTCAAATTGAGCATAATTCAACTAGTTTAGGCATATACCATTGACCCAAGAGTTTAGAATTCGATTCTCCCTTACCCCATATGTCATTAAACTGAAAAAATAAAAAGAAATATATCCCGATATGCAAATGTATTTGTATTTGAACTATTGAGTTACTGACAGATTAACTTTCAAGTTCCTCATGTAATTCTGTTAAAGAAAGTGAACGTTACATTGGCTTGCCTACATCCTCAACAAATTGGATATCCCTTTGATTTATTGTGCAGTTTCTCATGGAGCGCAAGAAATATTCAAGCTTCTTCCTCACACTTTTGTGGACCCAAGTAAACTTCCAGAAATATGTGGGAAGGTGGGTTCAAGGTACCCCTTCATATGTCCTATTCACAAATTATTACTTTGGCGCATAATTCACTCTTGGACTCCAATACTGTTAACATAATTCACTCTTGGACTCCAATATTGTTAACATAATTCACTCTTGGCCTCCAATACTGTTAACATAATTCACTCTTGGATTCCAATACTATAATCTGATTAACGTAGTTGCCCATTTCAATAATGAACCAATTGACTGTTGTCAAGCTAGTTGAAAGTTCAAAGTTGATGATGGGTATGCATCATTAAGTGATGGTGTTGGCAGTATTATGAATGTCTGATATTGGGAAAGGTGGATTCTCCTCCTCTGTCACGTGATGTTAGAGACATTGGTTAAACCAACATGTTGACTTTTCTTTAGTGGAATTGTGAAATGCTGTGATTGTCGATAAATTAAAAAAATTTCCTAAAACATTGATAGCTCACAATTCCTTCCTTTCTTTACTTGTCTTCGATATAACCTGTGCAACATCTTACGATAATGAGAAATGGATTTAATGAATAAATTCTCAAATAAAGTAGAGAATAGTTTTATTTATTATAAA